CCTCCTCGCGTCTCCAGTCGAGTTTCCTTGGCGACACAGAAGGCACTTTGCGTTTCCTCGACGGCATACTCTCCGCGTCTTCAAGACGATCTGGGGCCTCCGCACCGGCCGGCCCTTCCGAATAGGATGAGGCCGAGGTTTCCGATAGGTAAGTGGTCGGCGTTTCCCATAGGTAAGTGGCCGGTGTTTCCGAAAGGTAAGTGGTCGGTGTTTCCGAAGCGTAAGTGATCGGGATTTCCGAAGTGTAAGTGATCGGGATTTCCGAAGGATAAGTGGTCGGCGTTTCCGATGAGTAAATGATCGGCGTTCCTGATGTGACCGGAGTTTCCGACGGGTAAGTGGTCGGCGTTTGGGGAAGGTAAATGACCGGTGCTTCCGAGCGGTAGGTGGTCGGCGCATCCGAAGGAGTCGGCGCATCCGAAAGAGTCGGCACATCCGAAGGAGTCGACAAATCCGAAGGGGTCGACAAATCCGAAGCAGTCGGCATATACGAAGCAGTCGGCGTTACCGCAATGGCTGGTGCCCACTCGCATTGGTCGAGCGAGTCTTGGGTGAGAAGCGCGTATTCAGAAGCGGAGACAACCGATAAGTCTGTTAAGGATGCGAGGAGCAGATCTAGGCGCCTCTGGGCCGTTTGCGGGTCTAGTGGGCCGCAAGGGTCGGATGTGGGGACGGGTGGGTCTCGCAGACACTGAAGTTGCTGCGTGGGGTGCGCAACCCCCTCGACCATGGAGTTGAGGAAGGGGTTGTAGCCGAGTCCTATGCAGAACTTGGCCAGCTCTTCGACGGAGACCTCGGCGTGTTCCAAAAGGCCGCCGACCAGCCAGTAGCGGAGTCTCCGAGGATGGCACCAAGAGCTGGCCCGGGACCCAGAGCGCATCTTGCATAACGTGGCCATTCTAATGTGGTCGTCCACGAGCCCGTACGGCGACTCGAAGTAGAGAGAAATGATGGCGCCAAGTTCCACGAGCGCCAAGTTGCACTCATGGAACGATTCAGTGTCAATGGTTCGCAGTCGTTGCCAAGCGGGCACGGGTATGGACTCCAGCAGCGCATTATGTGCCTCGAAATCGCTTTTAAATAGTCTGCACCGTGCCGACTTAGCGAATGCAGCCCTCCGGCCCAGCACCGGAATGTACACCGGCCTTAACTGTGCCATATTATCCAGCATTTGGCGCCAGAGCCTCAGACTCGCCCTCACATTCTTCCCCCGCTCGTCCAGCGCTGAATCACCCGGAACCAAGGACCATGACTCCGCCTCAAATCCCGACTTGGTTTGCGTAGCGCGAAGCCGGTGCCCGTGATGATACCATTCCGTATGCCGCTGGAAAGGGTTGGTAGAAACCTTAGCAGCCAGAAGGTCGTAACCTTTCTCATCCAAAGGCACCCAAAACCGACTAATCCAATATGCTTCATAGTCCACTTCGGACACACTCGACCAGTCCCATCCGCCGGAGCTTGTGTCCGACTGAACAACGTTTCGGGATTGAACCAATTTCGCTGTGCCTCCGCTGATGCCGAGCACGAAGCAAGGCCACACACAGACTGATCTTCGTCCAGCGACAGCCACCAGCATCGGGGAAAAAAATTACACCGCGTCCCGGGTTCCAATTCAAGCTAATATACTTGGCACGTGCTGCCGGGCGACCGCTCATTCCACGATGCGCTGCTCTCGCTAAGTCACGACAGAGCACCACTAGTTCGGGCATTGCGTTTTGTCCAAGCTGGTCAGTTGGCAAAGCACCCCCGAATCGCAGCATCCAGAATTGGTGACGCCAGCAACACCTCAGTCCTGAAGCAACACCAGTTCTGAAGTTCCTGAGGCAACACATCAGTCCTGAAGTGTTGAACGTGTTCTAAAAATTGCGGCATTTGTTATGAAGCAGTTCCCTTTGTCTCTTTCGTCGAGTCCCGCGACCAGGTGAAAATACCCAGATCAGCAACCCTAATGAATCACCAGTCGGACTCTCAGTCGTGCTCTTGGTCGTCCGGATGGGAGCCTCCTTCAACGCCGCGCCTAAAAAAGCGCGTCGTCGAGTTCCATGAGGCCAGCAGGCTGCTCACCGTCATGGGGTTGTTCACCGTCGTGGGGCTGCTTATCATCGTCGGGATGTTCATCGTCGTCGGGATGTTCATCGTCGTCGGGATGTTCATCGTCATCGTCGTCGGGATGTTCATCGTCGTCGGGATCCTCGTCGTCGTCGGGATGCTCATCGTCGTCGGGATCCTCGTCGTCGTCGGGATGCTCACTGTGGTCGCATTTGTTGAACTGAAGGTCTCGTTCATGGCATGGTCGAACAGGCTTGTTACGAACGACGTGGCTTCGGACACCAGGTCTTCAGTCATGTTCAACGTGGTGGTCGTGTTCTGGTCTCGCAGTCGGAAACGGCCACGTCCCACGTGGAGATGGCCAAGGAACCACAGCAGGGGACACAAAGCGATTCCAGCGCCGACCGAAATGGCCGCACAAGCAGCAAGACGGCAGGGAATCGAGTTCTTCCGCTTTTCTCTTCGGCAGCCCCTTTCAAGATCCTCCTGTCGGTTTGGTCGGAAAAATGATTTGCTTAGAGCCGGCTTCCATTCTTCAGGAACCGTTTCGATAATCCTCGATAGTTCCGATGCGGTCAAGGGCCTGCAGTCAAGTAGTTGCAGGGCTTCGCTGCCGTCGTGCCAGTCCAGCCCTTCCGGAAAGTGCTCGCCGAATGCCTCGAGACAAATTGCGTCGAATGGCTCCACACAGAGCCGGCGGTCGGGACACTTGGTCCGGACATGCTGCTTCACATCCAGCAAGACGAGAGCTTCGGCCAAAGCGTCCCTGCAGCCCGGGTCATAAAACATTTGTATTCTTCGCGGAACTTCGAGCCAACTCCTCTCCAGCGCGGCTTGGTTCAGCCGTGTCTCCTCCTCTGGCACCTGCCCTCGATTGCGGCCCCACTCCAGCGCCTGGCTCACTCCCAGCAACTCCTCTTCGGGCGCCAAAACCAGGCATCGCAACCCCACTCGCCGGCTTCGATCAGCCAATACAAATACACCCCCCACACAGTCATCGACCGGCTGCCGGAGCCCACTCTCAGTCACCAACTGCGCCACAAGCGCCAGTCTTCTCCTGGGCTCGCGTCGTCTTGCTTCCTGCGTCCTCATAGATTTTTGACTTGATAATCAAACCCGTCATAATCAAAAGTTGCCGAGAAGCATGGCAAGCATGGAACAACTTATACTATGCCGCCCACGTACTCCCTCCCGGCATGCTCGAATTAACTGCACCCACCGTCTGGAGAGAACTTGTCTGCGATTGTATGTCCTGGGCAGCCGGCGGCAGCATAGCCGGCGGCAAGAGGGCGGTAGCAGGAGGGGCCAGGTCGCATATTATACTTAGCTGGAGGCCAAACCGCTGGGTCTGGGGCGGTGGGGTGGCAAGTGAACGATCAGGTGCAAACCTCTTCCTCGCGGTTGCGGAAGGTTCTTGCGACATTGTTCTTTTCTGAATTGAGTGGTTGAACGTGAATTCCTCATCCGCCTCAAGTCGACGGGGACCATCCAGCAAGTGGGTGCCCCACCCGACCGTCGGTCCCCAAGTATTCGTCATCGGTGTCCAAGTGTTCGTCGTCGGTGTCCAAGTGTTCATCGTCGGTCCCCAAGTGTTTGTCGCCGGTGTCCAAGTGTTCGTCGTCGGTCCCCAAGCTGCTGCCAACTCTTCGTGGGCGTCTTCGTCGTGGACTGCCGCGGTCGAGAGACATTCATCTAACGCCTGGTCCCAAACTTCCTGGCCCAGTGAACTTGCCTCTGCGGCAGCTGCTAACTCGGGCTTGGCGTCCTGAGTATTGACGACCTGAGAGGCCTCCTGAGAGGCCTCCTGAGAGGCCTCCTGAGAGGCCACTTGAGGGACCTGCGAGAGCCCCACTTGAGAGCTGGCGACCTGAGAGGCTACTACCGGAGATGCCACTTGGGGGACTACGACCAGGGGGACTACGGCTCGTTGGCGACCAATAAGGAAGTTGTGAATCGTTTCTGCAGTGAGATCCGAGTATTCATCAAGGGACGCCACGGGTAACTGTGACAAGGTCTGCTGCAGGGCAGAGGCAGGGTTGTCGTGCTTGTGGCGGTACGGCACTAGATTCCCTTGGAGAAACTGGAGACGCGTGACCCTGGTTTCTTCATCGTGTTCTGCGATTTGGTAGCGTGTTCTGCCGGGCGTGTACCCGAGTTGATTGACACAGAGAGTGACCAGCGGCTGGGTCGGTACCTGAGCATGTTGCAACAGACAGCCTGTGATCCAGTGGCGGAGCTTGCCTTTTTCGCCTTTCGAGCGAGTGCCGATTTTCTTTTGCAACCAGGACCTGACTTCTTGAGCAACGGTGCCGCAGGGGGCGTCGAAGTACAGGTTGAGTATTGCGCCGAGTTCCACATAAGCAAGTGCACAGCGGTTGAAGCTTTGGGGACTCAATGTTCTTAGTCTCTTCCAGGACTTTGTTGGGATCGACCGATGCAGCACGTCATACGCCTCAAAATTGCACTTCAAGGGCGATAATTGCCCCTTCAGATACTTGGCTGTCGCCAACACGGGAATGTACACGGGTCTAGCTTTCGTGAGTGACCCCTCTTTGTCTAAATTCCCTCCAATCAAGGTCCAAGACTCAGGACTAAATCCCGGCCGACCGGGTTTCGCGCGCAATAAGTACCCCGCCTTGGTCCAGTACCGGTGGCGGTGTCGTGCGCGCATCGCGGTCCGGCGGTTCAGGATGTCGTACCCGTCTGCGTCCAACGGCACCCAAAAACGGCTGATCCAGTATGCCTCATAGTCCACTGAGTCTTTGCCAGACATACTCCGCCAGTCCCAGGACTCGTCTACCGCACATGCCTCTAGCTTCGCCGGCAACTCTTCTAACCCATCGGGCTGTCTATCAAATGTGTGCAAGATCCCAAGCACTGAAGAATACCACAACAAATTTGAGTCGCCAAGTGTACCGCACGGACAACGCATCGGACCACTTTTTAATTATCGGATGACGCCCGCGAGACAGAATGGCCAGTGAGAGTGAATGGCCAGTGCGTGCGCACACTCACAGCGGAGTGACCTCTGTTGCAGGTGGGAGCCGTAAGCGGTTCAAACAACCGGCAACTTTACAGTGACCCATTTGGCTATTTGGTAGCCTGTTTTGCCGGGCGTGTGCTCGAGTGAATTGACATGGAGATCGACCAGCGGCTGGCAGCCGGTCATAGATTGTTCCGTCTTTTTCATCAACGAAGAGCAGAGCAGATCCACGAGGCGTCCAGGGCGTCGAAGTACATGCTCACCCAACAGTGCTCCCGTCTACACATAGATAGGCCAGCATTTTCGTACCCTTCCTGCGTCCAGGGGCACCAAAAACGGCGGACCCAGTATGCCAACAAGTCTTTGCCAGATATACTCCGCCAATCCCAGGACTCGTTCTCCACACACGGCTCTCGCTCCCACGGCTCTATCGCCGCAAGCTCCCTTAACCAATCCGCCCAGCGAGCGCAATATCCCGAGCACTGAAGAACGCCGCTGTGATTCGCTTGGTGTGCCGCGATGAAAGCATCCGGCCAATTTTTTACAACACACAACTGTTCGCAGCTCAACTGTTCGCCGTCCAACTCTGGTCCTGTGGTATCAGCCTAAATGTTCTGTCGAACATGTCGGCTACTGATGTGGTGCTGTCTGCGTCATAAGACGGTGTCGATTTTGCCAACTTGCATCTACGGTTGCTCACTCTCTATTCTCTTTAAAAATCTTAAGCGAGGCATAACAACTTGAAGCCGACCATGTCCCGAACACACCACCAAAAAAGTCATTCACTGTAGTAAGGTTTCTCGTCAGCCAGGGTCTACAGCTTGACAATGATACTGGTCACATCACAGCTGCCACGGGGGTCTCTAGCAGGTAATCCTGCTAACCAGGCCACCGAGGTGCCGCGCCTGCCCGTACTCTCAGTAACTAAGGGCCACTCGTCTGCTGGTGCTTCATTTTTCCATCTTACCAACGCATGCTTATGACAAGCGTGCGCCATGGGGAACGGCTTCCTTCGCATGGGGAACCGCTTCTGTCACCGGCCAGACTTGCCCTAACAACCAACTCAAGCTGGCTGATTTCGCTGCCACCCTGTCTCAGCGAACAACACCAGTCGGCCGGCCATCGTTCCACCACCTCTTGCAAGGCTTGGATCTCCAAATAGACGCTGCCCACTTGGGGACCGGCGGCAACACAGTCAGGGTCAGCGGCTCCGTTTCTAGCTGTGCCGTTCAAGGCACTTGATCGCTGGGGCTCTTTCATGGGTGGCAAGTGAACGATCAGGTGCAAACCTCTTCCTCGCGGTTCCGGAAGGTTCTTGCGACATTGTTCTTTTCTGAATTGAGTGGTTGGACGTGAATTCCTCATCCGCCTCAAGTCGACGGGGACCATGCAGCAAGTGGGTGCCCCACCCGACCGTCGGTCCCCAAGTATTCGTCATCGGTCCCAAAGTGTTCATCGCCAGTCCCCAAGTGTTCGTCATCGGTCCCCACATCGGTTCCCAAGTGTCCGTCATCGGCCCCCAAGTGTCCGTCGGTCCCAAAGTGTCCGTCATCGGCCCCCAAGTGTCCGTCGGTCCCAAAGTGTTCATCGTCGGTCCCCAAGTGTCCGTCGGTCCCAAAGTGTTCGTCGTCGGTCCCCAAGTGTCCGTCGGTCCCAAAGTGTTCGTCGTCGGTCCCCAAGTGTCCGTCGGTCCCAAAGTGTTCGTCGCGGGTACCAAAGTGTTCGTCGTCGGCCCCCAAGTGTCCGTCGGTCCCGAAGTGTTCGTCGCCGGTGCCCAAGCGTCCGTCGGTCCCCATGTGTCCGTCGTCGGTCCCCAAGCCGCTGCCGACCCTTCGTGGGTGTCTTCGTCGTGGAATGCCGCGGTCG